GCCAGCTGCCCCTCTTCCCCCATCAGCGCCTGACGGCCTAGCCCTCCCCACCAAGAGGAAGACAGTCAAACTCTTCTGGCGGGAGCTGAAGCTGGCTGGGGGGCATGGAAGCTCTGGGAGCCGCTATGGGCCCTGCTCCACCCTGTGGGCCTCCCTGGAGCCTGTCTCTGTGGACACAGCCCGGCTGGAACACCTGTTTGAGTCCCGTGCCAAGGACGTATTACCTTCCAAGGTAAATGCACCCTCATCTGCAGGGTAACCCCACTGGCGAGGGGAGGGAATCAGAGCTCAAGGATCCTAACTACTGGGGCTGCCGCTCATTTCCCACATGGGGAAAGCGAGGCAAAGAGAGGAGCAGGGACTTGTCTGAGGTCTCAACAGGGATCAGCAGAGCCCTAACTGGCATCTACGCTCATCCCAAGGCTCTAAACATCCCAGGTTCATGGCTGTGTGGAGACCCCGCCATTTGGGGGGGCCCTTGAAGTGTCCTCTTAGGATGTTGCCCCAGCTAGTCCCTTTCCCAAACTTACACTCTCCTTCCCTCAACCTCAAAGAAAGCTGGTGAGGGCCGCCGGACAATGACCACAGTGCTGGACCCCAAGCGCAGCAACGCTATCAACATTGGTCTAACCACACTGCCACCGGTGCATGTCATCAAGGCTGCCCTGGTCAACTTCGATGAGTTTGCTGTCAGCAAGGACGGCATTGAGGTAGGGATAGCCAGCTGGGGGTGTGGAAGGGAATGGGAGGTCCAGCCCTCTCCTTTGGTCAGTGGGCATTTCCTGACCCTCTAGTAGTGGGTAGGGGCTTGGCATAGCAGTCCCCAGACCCTGGGGCTCCCCCAGATAGCCTAGGGAAGCAGTTCTCAACATGTGGATCGAGACCCCTTTGGCGGTCAAACGACCCTTTCACAGGGGTCGCCTGAGACCATCCTGCATATCAGATATTTACATTACAATTCATAACAATAGCAACATTACAGTTATGAATCAGCAACGAAAATAATTTTATCGTTGGGTCACAACATGAGGAACTGTATTTAAAGGGCCAGAAGGTTGAGAACCACTGGCCTAGGGGGAGTCAAAACCAACACCTGAGGCCTCAGGCCAGCACTTACTGGCCTGTATGGGGTGGTGTTGTGTCCTCAGAAACTGCTGACCATGATGCCCACGGAAGAGGAGCGGCAGAAGATCGAGGAGGCCCACCTGGCCAACCCTGACATACCTTTGGCCCCAGCTGAGACTTTCCTGATGACTCTTGCCTCCATCGGGGGCCTGGCTGCCCGCCTACAACTCTGGGCCTTCAAGCTGGACTATGACAGCATGGAACGGGTACCTGGGTCATGGGTGGGACAGGCAGTGGGGGTAGATGAGTATGATGACCGTGTAGTCTGAGTCCCTGGCCTCCCACACCAGGAAATCGCAGAGCCACTGTTTGACCTGAAAGTGGGCATGGAACAGCTGGTGCATAATGCCACCTTCCGCTGCATTCTGGCCACCCTTCTGGCTGTGGGCAACTTCCTCAATGGCTCCCAGGTGAGTGACAGCGCATGAGGGCTGGGAGCCAGGCTCTGGAGCCAGCCCGGCCCAGGCTCAGACAAAGTCCTTTCAGAGCAGTGGCTTTGAGCTGAGCTACCTGGAGAAAGTGTCAGAGGTGAAGGACACCGTGCGCAGGCAATCACTGCTGCACCATCTCTGCTCCTTGGTGCTCCAGATGCGGCCTGATTCCTCCGACCTCTACTCAGAAATCCCCGGCTTGATCCGCTGTGCCAAGGTTAGCACCAGCCAGGGGCTTGAATAAAATTGGCCAGGGCATGAGGGAGTGCTGCTTCCTGGGGCTGGCTTCTCCCTTCCCATTTCAACAGCTGTGCCAGGGCTGGCTCAGCTACAGATGTTTGTGCCAGAAATGCTTCCCTCTATTGGCCTGGCTATCCCTACTCAGTCTTTGGGTCTCAGTTTAGCTGCCGCTTCCCCAAGAAACCTTCTCTGTTCTCCAATGGACCAAATGGACTTGTCTGTTTCCTGTGGTAGACCGTGAACTTTTGGAGGGCAATGGTTGCATCTCCTCTGTGTTCCTCTGGCCTGGCTCACCAGCCTGGCACAGAGGCAGCCTCAGGCAGTACCTTCTTGTGGGGGGACAGCCTGTGTACCCCCCTGCTTTTCCAGGTGGACTTTGAACAGCTGGCTGAGAACCTGGGGCAGCTGGAGCATCGGAGCCATGCAGCTGAGGAGAGTCTGCGGAGCTTGGCCAAGCATGAGCTGGCCCCGGCCCTGCGTACCCGCCTCACCCAGTTCCTGGCCCACTGTTCCCGACGCGTTACCATGCTGCGAGTAGTGCACCGCCGTGTCTGCAACAGGTGGGATTGTGGGCCCGAGAGGCGGGACCGCCACCACTGTCCCTCACCCCCAAGTAGGACTCACCATCCCTTCCTATCCTGACCTGCCTAGGTTCCACGCCTTCCTGCTGTACCTGGGGTACACCGCACAGGCAGCCCGTGAAGTGCGCATCATGCAGTTCTGCCACACGCTGCGGGAGTTTTCGCTGGAGTACCGGACTTGCCGAGATCGGGTGCTCCAGCAGCAGCAGAAGCGGGCCACATACCGTGAGCGCAACAAGACCCGGGGACGCATGATCACTGAGGTGCGTGCCCCTTCCAGGTTTTGACTGCTGTTCCCATGGTTTCCTTCCCTGGCTCCCAGCTCATCATTCTCCCCTCTCCAGACAGAGAAGTTCTCAGGAGTGGCTGGGGAAGCCCCCAGCAACCCATCTGTCCCAGTGGCTGTGGGTAGTGGGCCAGGCCAGGGTGATGCAGACAGTCACGCCAGCATGAAGAGTCTGCTGACCAGTAAGCCTGAAGAGGCCACACACAGCCGCCGCAGCAGAGGTGGGACCTGTGGCCGCTAGGGGAACGGATTTTGCTTTGGGGCCACCTTGGCCTGACCTCCTATCTGGTCTCTGTCAGGCCTGGTCCAGAGCAGTTCCCCAGTGCCCACAGCAGTGAGGGCCTCCAATGCACCCCCAGAAGAATCCCCAGGCTCCAGTTCACCCAGTGACACTTCAGATGAGATCATGGACCTGCTGGTGCAGTCAGTGACCAAGAGCAGTCCTCGTGCCTTAGCTGCTCGGGAACGCAAGCGTTCCCGTGGCAACCGCAAATCTTGTGAGTACTCCCCACATACCCGCTGCCCGCTTTATCCCCAGCAATCAATCCCCTCCAACCCTGCTCTGTCCCTGCAGTGAGACGGACACTGAAGAGCGGACTTGGAGAAGACCTGGTGCAGGCACTGGGACTGAGCAAGGGACCTGGCCTGGAGGTGTGAAGCCGCAGCCTCCAGAATATCTACCTGGGCCACAGCCTGCATGCAAAAGACTATATAGATTGAGGAGGGGCCAGAGCAGAATTCTGGGCATCTTCTCAACGCTGGGGTCACTCTGTACCCAGTGGCCAGTGCCTTGAGCAGTATTATCTGTGTTTGTGTGTTGTGTGTGTGTGTGTGTGTGTGTGTGTGTATGCATGAGCTCCCTGAACACGTGGAGCATAATAAAGTTTTCTTAGCCAATCCAAGAGCCTTTTTCTTTCAAGGTATAGACCCCTGCTTTCAAGGTCTATAGCAGTAGGGAAATACCAAAGAATTGGTTCTTCCTGCCTCACGCCTCATCATCATCACACAGCCATTAGCCACATTCTAAACCATTTTATTCAACAATCCTATGCCTTAGACTGCTTTTGGCCCCTGGACTAGGCCCTCGTTACTCCTAGCATGGGCCATACAGCCTGATAGAGCCACCTAAGGCCCAGCAACCAGTGGTCACAACGTTAGTGGCTATAATCGTTTCATCTGCCGCCGTTCCTGCCGGCGCTGCCTTTTCTCATTGTGCTCCGGCGCTGGGGCACCACTGTCTGCCGTGAACCAGGGGCCCAGCACATTCACCCACAGGAGGTAAAGGGCCCGTCCTGGAGCCTAGGAGAGAAAAGGTAACTTGAAGCCAGGTTCAGGAAATGAAGGAAGAGATGGGTTAGATGCCCCAGCCCCTTCTTGGGAGTCCAACAACCCACGCACCAGGAGCCAGAAGGACCAGATGTAGAGGGAAAAGCAGCTGAGCACCTGCACAATGGCTGTCAGTAGGATCACATCCTTCAGGTGCCTGTGGATGGAAGGGAGACTGCAGGGGCCAAAAATAGTAGATGGGCCCCAATTCACCTCCCACCCCTTCAAGCTGCAGGCAGCTGTGGGTCTTAGGCTATCTGGGCCCCAGCACCACAGCCCTGGGGCCGCTCACCTGAGCTGGCGGCGGGGGACACTCACTCTGCCATGCCCTGCTCCATGTTGAGGTCCATTCCACCATCCATCAGGGCCCCATCCTCAGAGAAGGCCGCCCGTGCCATTGAGCTCATTGAGTGATAGCTGGCCCCATATACTGCCAGACTAAAGCCCAGGGCCATCTGCGAACAAGAGTGGGAGTATCAAAGGCCAGCCACTAACCCTATGTGCGTACCCACTTCCCAGGATGGGGAACACTTACCCAGGCCCAAAATGAGGCAGATGAGTAGAAGAAGACCAAGGTCACAAGACAGTAAATGGCCTGCAAGCAGACACAGGATCAGGCTGGGATCAAAGCTACCCCTAAACCATGGACCTCCCTTGACTCTGACCAAGAGTTTGGCCAGGCTGTGGAAGAAGACAGGTTGTTTCTTATAGGATGGGGGAAACAGAGGTCTGAGTACCCAGACTACCCTCTGACTCATCAGCCTAGGAAAGAAGCCTCTGTACTTGGAGTGGTCAAGGCTCTCGAGTCCATCTCATTTTGTTGTTTTGTTTTGACTACTCAACATGTCCTTTGTACAGGACCGATTGATTGATTGATTTCTGGAATTTTCTTCTAAAGCCTTGACTCACAAACCACCACCACCACCACCACACCACTGCCGCAGCCCCCACCACCCAGAACTGAGGACTCTGGGACCTTGGACGGGCCACAGAAATAAGAGCCAGGCACTCACATTGGCTCCCAGTATGATCCTCAGGTAGAACTTCAGGGTCTCTCTGTTCTCTTCGAATATCTGCTTCTTCCCTCTTGTCCCCACTTTGCCCTTGGGCTGCAGAAGAATGGTGAGAGGCTTGTCAGAGCCCTCCTCAGCAGGGTCCTCTTCCCCTCCCCACCAGTCTGGTAGCTACAGAGTCCCAGCTGCACCTCAGCCAATCCTCGGGATGCCTACCCCTCCTCCAGGCAATCCTGCTTAAGGCAGAAACCATCCTTCCAACAACCTCAGCAATGCTCGCCTCCTGCACACCCTCGGACAATACAACACTAGGCTGACACCGCCTGGCTTCCCAGGTAAGCTACGGCTTTGGGCCGATGACCCCGCCACGGGGAATTCCTGGGTAGCGCTGAATAGCGCCCCTCTCCGGCCTCCGCTGGAGTGGGCAAGATCTCGGCTGACGCCCACACCCTTCTGGCCCCTCAGATCTTTAGCCAATTCCGGTTACTCTGTGATACTGACGCCCACCCCCCACTCCGGCACCCGTTCTGGTACGGTCCAGCGCCGCTCCCTTCCACCCCCGTGCATCTAGTACGGCCCGGCCAGCGAATGGCGCCCCCTCTGGCCGACCCGCTTCTCTTGATGTCCTCCCTCTGTTTTCAGTCTCCCAGGCCCTGGGAGCGCTTTGCCGATGCGGACCCCGCCCTACCCGCTCTCCTTACCGCCATGGTGCGACGCAAATACCCAGCCGGGGGAACAAGGAATAGCGAATGAAACCGCAATCACCGAGTCCCACATCGGCAGCACAGGCACTTCCGGTGCAGACCCAAATCGTCACAACTGGGACGGAAGTGAGTGGGACACTTCCTTTCCTAGCCCCGCCCCCCGGCGCCCGTGAGACTACACTTCCCAGATGCCTTGCGCGGGGGCGGAGGCGGCGGGGATGCGATGGCGGAGTCGCTGCCCCTGGAGGTGAGAGGAGGCCGCCCTCAGGTCCAGCTCGGGCCAGGCCCCGCCCTCAGGGTCCTGGGCTGTGGGGAGGGGCTGTCAGACCGCTCGCCGAGTCCCGCTGGCCGGGCGGAAATGACCCGTCCGGTAGCTGAGAGGACTTGCAAGCTATGGGTAACGGCCCCACCGTTAGGCTACTCCGTCCCCTTAGTTGGGGGACATCCTCTTCTTCCCCATCGGCCCCCGGAGATGGCTGTTCTGTCACCTCAGAGAGAACGGGGCCTCTGCCTGCCCACCTTCTCTTGTGATGGCCGCTCCTCCCCCTCAGTTCTGGAAGGTATCTGCTCCATCCCATCGTCCCCGAAGGGTAACCGATCTCATTCCATTGGTCCATTGGGATGATCGGCTCATTCCCTCCACCCCGAGAGATGGCAGTCCCCAGCCTCTGGCGGCGGGAGACTGCCTTCCCCATCAACTCCGGGCAGGGTCGCCGAGTTCTGTCCCCGAAGACCCGCCTGCTCCCCCTTCCCTCTGCCTCCAGCGATGGCCGCCGCCCCTACCTCCTGGGCCCCAAGGGATGTTTGCCCGCCCTCCTTAGCCTGAAGCAAGACCCCTCTGCCGCCATTATCGAGAGCAGGTCACAGGTTTTGTCCCCAGGAGACTCTGGGATGACTCCTCCGTCCTTTTTGCCCTGAGAGTTGGCCGCCCTTTCAATGCCTCCGGGAGACTAGACACCTTTTCCCCATCAGCCCTGGAATGGCTCTCCTTCCCCTTAGCAAAAATAGGACTGCTCCCACCCCACTGAGCCCCCTGCCGTGGCATCTTGTCTCCCCTTGGCCCCAGAGGTTATCCATTTCACCCACATAGGTCCCAGGAATGACCAGTCATGCCTCCTGGGATGGGGTTCCTTGGGATGGCCATCCACCCTTATCACTGCCTGCTCTGGTCTCTAGGAAAGCCTCTTCCCTTCCCAGCTCAAAGAATCCCCTCCGTGAGGACAGGGGTTTTGCCCTCTACTATTCATTGACCCTTGGGTTGGCTGCTGAGCCCCAGAAGGTGGAATGGCCACTATCTTATCTCAGCTCAGAGATAAGGTATCTGCCTTCCCTGAGGGTTGGAGGCTTGTTCATTCCCAGTCCCCATCAGTGTTTTCTTTCCCGCATCTAGCCTCCTCCCCAGTCATTCTCTCAATAATTGATCTGCTTTATCGCCCCACCCTGAGCAAACATTTGGTGAAAATAGAGGTAGAGGACTGTCCATCCTTAATTCAATCCAGTGAGTGTTGGCTGAGCACCTTCTGTGTGCTAGGAATGAGAGGAGATCAGAATGGGCTGATGAGGTCAAGCTCAAGGAAGGGCATTTCTAGGAAAGAGGCTCATGTGGACAAAGGAAATAGACGAGGTGGAGCTGTGTTTGTAGGATGGTGGGGAGACTGGGGTGGGGAAGCTCTGGGATCAGGGGTCTAGTTGGGCATGGAGTCCTGGCAGTGCTGACCCAAGAGTGGAGATTGTATTGTGAGGGTCCTGGGATACCCTAGAAGTTTTCATCAGGGGTGTGCTGAGACTGAAAGCTATTTTTTGGGAAATTAACCTTGCTGTAGTGTGCAGAATGATTAGCAAGAATGAGCCTGGAGGCAGGAGAGTCAGTTGGAAGATTGTAAAAGGAATCCAGGTTTAGAATGATGATAGTCTAGGCTACTAAGTAAAGTTTCAAAGGTAAAAATATTAGTAACAGCAATCCAGCAACCATTTATGGAACACCTACTAGGTATCAAGCACATCATATCCAATATAACTATATCTTAATCCCCATAAGACTATGACATATGCTATATATATATATATATTTTTTAATTGATTTCAGAGAGGAAATTTCAGAGAGGAAGGGAAAGTGATAGAGAGACAGAAACATCAATGATGAGAGAGAATCACTGATTGGCTGCCTCCTGCACACCCCCTACTGGGGACCGAGCCCAAAACTTGGGCTTGTGCCCTTGACCGGAATCGAATCTGGGACCCTTCAGCCAGCAGGCCAACCCTCTATCCACTGAGCCAAACCGGCTAGGGCAGACTGACATATGTTTTCTAATATCCCCATTCTAGGAAGTGGTGGAATTGGGGTTTAAATGAGTAAGTTGGCCTGGCCTAAAGCCTGTGCTTGACACCTGTGTCTGCAAGCAAGGGACAGAAGAGCATGACAAGGACAGAGTATTATCAGGATCTTCAGAGGAGTTGCGTGGTTGGCATTTCCAGCTCAGGTGCTGGAAAGTTGGGAGATGGGACTGCTTTGGACTGAGGGCAGAATATGAATTCTGGTTGAGATGAAGGTGATGGTAAAAATATTTGGGTGAAGGCTTCTGTGGACAGTTGGCAACACTGGACATGAATAAGGTAACATGAGGATATTGAATTGTGGGTTATTCCTATAGAGGTAACTATAGGAATAACTATGCAAGTGTTTACTAGAAAGTAAACAGATGGA